TTTTTGTAGTTCCAACTTTCACCGCTAGATGGACGCCAATTTTTTAGTCCATGAAATGGGCTATTTTTCTATTTTCTTAAATAATAGTCCTAGCAGGCTATAATTACATGCGTTCGATTCCGTAGACGACAAGGAACAATTTGTATATCTCAGAATTTCGGGAAAGTGCTTAGTTTTCGAGAAAATCGAGATTTTAGTTTTTTGTAGTTCCGCCGCTCGCCGCTAGATGGCGCTACTTGTACCGTTTTGGACCGAATTCTACGAAAATTGATTTTCTGGATTTATTAGGCATCAAAACGCATCAAACCCTAATAGAAATTTGTTTCTAAATGCCTCAGGAACCATACTGCGTTGTCAAAGTGCCGAAATATTAATTTTTTTATTACGCCAATTTTTTAATCCATATACTGCATTACTTGTAACCGTTTGCTACTGCGCATAGGGTCAAAGTTCGAAAGTTTGAATTTCAACTTTCTCAACGATACCATTTATTTATTATGATACAGATACACAAATTATTGTATAAAAATATTGAATTCGTGACTTGAATTGGGGCAAGCACAGGCAATGCATCAAAAACATTTAATTATGGTACAAAAATAATTGTTATAAACGTTGAAGGCACTAAATACTGCGGCTTATAAAAATAAATTAATCATTTATGGTTCCATAAGATTGACTGAAGGAGGCCGGAGATTTAACTGATATTCTCCAAAGGTCATAGCTGCTAACCATTTGTATTGCTCATCTTTTAACGACCCAGCTAAAGTATTCCCAAAAAACGGACTTTCTTTACACCTAAAGAATTATACAAAAAATAAAATAAGAGAAAGTTACAATTCTTAAAATTTAAACAACCTTATAATTATTACCTCGTTGGTTTTTTATTTTTTGCTATAAAGGTGATAGACCATCTACAACAGAAAATACCTAGCTTAACAAATTTTTCAAGAAACATTTAATACAAATTAAAAACACCTACCCTGTCTGTGGATTTCGTTTTGGCTCATGACCTAAATACCAAATGATATCTTCTATTTTCCATTCGCACAATTTATTCGAACAGAATTTGTCTTTGTAACAGTAAAGCTTCGCTTGACTGAACTCAAAGAGGTAGTTTTTAAAATTTTTCGATTTCCTATCAGCGAACTTAAGTTCACCCGACGTTGTCATTGGCGGAGTTATCTAAAAAAGAAAGTAACATTTATTTATCCTGTTTTTTAACGCGATATTAAACGTAATAAAAAGTTCTGAGAATTTAAGGGATAATATAATATATTTTATGAGCAATTTTCACATTATTAAAACGAATTAAAAACAAGATACGCTATTAAGCCCAATAAAACCACATCCTGTTTATGTGGCGAGCAAATATACAACTATCTTTTCTTTTCTGAGTCACGCAATCTGATCCCTGCTGAGTAGCTCTCTATAAAAAACAGTTCCATTATGTCCCTGAACTCATTTGACATAAATAGCACAAATACAAATCACATTTCTATGTAGATTTACAGTTATGTGATACACACGTTTCTGAGAATGAACATACGCTTTGTTTTTTATAATCTTTGTGCAGGAAATATCAATTTATATTTAATTTTGGAACATTGTAGAGTTAGATTTAGATTTTTGGAAGAATGTTATTTCGTGACGGGAACTATAGAGCTTTCGTTTGTTTACCAAAGGTACTATATCCTTGAACAGCTGATCCTTTTTAAGTATGAGGACATTGTCCTTCCTATCGTCTGGATCCCAGTATCCCCACCTCGCCACTGTTTCGAGGACACGCTCAGTGTGATGCAGTGGCCGTTCTAATGCGCCAGACAATGTGTATTCTTCCAAACACAATTCATGAGCGGATAAACTTGTTTTCTCTGCCAGCTCCCGACATACATCGTACGCAGTTTTCTGTGGCCCAATCTGCAAAACAAACTGCATCAGTTTACCTTCGAAAATCTTACAACTATTTGGAATAAAATCTACTGTACTTATAAAATACTTATAACTATAGACTCTACAAATTATTAATAAGTACTAAAAGAAGTCTCACAGTGACATTCACACACTCGCCCTCCCTCGAAAAAATATATATCCAAATCTTGAGATCTCCGGAGGGTGCTCCACGTAGGCCATTATTAGAAACATGATGCTTCTCCAACACCGCCAAAATTTTCGCCTCTTTCGCCATATCGGCGGCGGTTAATTGATACAGCTTCGGATACAGTTTGATGAGATCACCGATCACTCTGGTTTCCGCTCTGTTCCATTCTTCGGCGCTGTTTTCGCCGGCGTGCATCAACGTCGGTCCCCAAATAGCGGAAAGATTTTCACAGGTCATCAGGTTTCTGGAACTTTGCTGACTCAAACAATGCAGGTGAGCAAGAACCCTTCTGAGCGTTGCTGCTGGAATAGGACTCAGGGTGGTCAACAGTTTTCTGTAGGTTGAAACTCTGTCGTCTTCATTGTTGCTTTCTGCAAATAATAAAATTGTGTATAATACAACTGTATATAATATTTTATTCATGTAATTTGATGAACTGATTGTGGTGGAGGTTTCATAAAATATTTGGACAACTTTCTAAAACTTATAAGTACAAGTTAGAGCAATAAGTCCAGCTTGAATTCCTATTATTTATAATAATATAAAAAATCATATGTGATGCAGCTAGTTATGTACAATGTTTATGAACAAAGTTACAACAAAGTTGTAATTAATAAATCCTCTTTGTCCTTCTAGTAATCCTAATAAGTTACACATCAAATGATCAGTATCTTTACTCCATTTAATTAAAAAGAATGAAATCAATATCTGCAGTAATTTCACAGAAATCAGTAACACTTCATTCTCATAAATAATTGAAAGTAACAGTATCCTACATAGACTAAATGAGAAAACATAACTTATTATCAGTAATATTGATGTTATCAATGTGAACCTATTACACCTTTCTTGCACCTTATTTTCAGTGGAGTGACTAATTGCAAGGAGGTTCAAGCGATGTCTTAACAGAGATGCATGTCTTAACAGAGTTGCTTTCACTGAGAAGCGCGAAGGCTCGTTATGAAGAATTATGATTCATCGACGACCTCTGTATGATTCTCACGCGATGTTTCGTCGTGTAGCGGATGTGCTATTTGTTTCGTCACTCCATTAAACATATGACTCTCCCCTGACAGCGGACGGGAAGGTACATAAACAGGAATTACCAATTATTGGTAGCCAGCTTATGCACTTTGGACCAAATTAATTTTATATGTGATTTAAGACATCACGTCGCCAGACATTAATACGTATAAAACAACCATAACCATACATTCTGAATTATTATGTTGTTTGTAAACATGTACATTGATGACTTAACAAATTTACATAATTTACAAATTTATAATATCAATATACATAATTTACAAATTTATAATATCAATGTACATAACTTACAGTCCCATTTACAAATCTGATTTTACCACAGAACAAAATTTTTATAATTTTAATTAATTATAAACTAGTGCTTTTAATTTCAAATTAATGAAACTATCTATTAAATCAAATGATTAAGCATGGTTCGAAAGTTGTTGAATCCGTAAGTAATGATACCGGATATTCAGTATTACGCTTCCGGATGAAACTGGCTTACAATGTGAGAAAATACGCGTGGGTGCGAACACGACCCAGCTTAACATTCTTCTTATAATTACGTATGCAAATGATGGTCGGGGGCAAGGCTCGGGATTTATTTGCACCTATTACCGTCGGGAAACATGTTTCCTTTTCTTCGCTTTTCTTATTCATTTGTCTTCGTGCAATTCGAACTGGACAAATACTTCATGCGTGAACCTTTCACGTTTATTCAAGTGAAAACGTTCAATAGAAGTTTTAAAGAGAAATTCCTAGGTACTTTCTAGGACAATCATTGTAGAAAGTTTGACGAACCGTGGAAGAACAAATAAGATTATTTTGCAACTATGTTTTTTATACCAATTCTTTTTGAATATTCAAAGGAACATTGTACCATGTTAAGGATATAATTTAGTAGCAATGTAAATAACATTTAGTAGCAATGTTTTTGTGCAGGTAAAGGATTTTTGTTTTTTCTATGCATGTGAAGGCGTCAGATTTATATGGACGTGTTAATATTTCCAGTTTCGTTTTAATTTAGCACCTCTCCAGCACGCCTAAAGCAGAATTTCATTGTCAAAGCGAGTTTGCCGACCAGTCAAGGACAGTGAATGCCCCTTACCTGAGGTAAAACAAAGCCGATCGTGAATGTTGGCAGGAAACAATGGATTCGGTAAATCACGGAGAAACCTTCTGAGAACCGTGGCCACGTCGTGCTCCGTATAGGCTTCCCTTGTGATCTGCGTCGCCCATGCGTCTCGACGGAACGCTTGCAATAATTTGACAACAGCGCTGTTGGATCCGCTTTGACGATAAATACCCTCCGTCATTATACCTTTAACATTTTATAGATATAATTAAATTCGTGTCACGGCGACTCTCTAATAAATATGTATGAAGCGAATCTAAATAAAGATTGCAACGGCTGGACATAATTAAAGCTACGTGTCTACATTTCTTCTTTGTGGCACTATCAGCCTGACACAAAGTCCTTTTTTTTTCTAGAAATCTTTGATGTGCATATGTTTACCATGAGCATAAATGAAATTAATGCACTTGTCGAGAATCACAGGTACGTTGTCCTGCGTGAGTTGTTGTTGTTCCAAGGCGGGAGCACAATTGGTAGCCGCTTGATAAATAGCGTGTCTCCATGCAGATCCTTCGTGAATTCCTGGTGCAGCCACGTGCAAGGCTCCGCTACCTCCTGCGTCCACAACCACTACTGGAATGGAACCGTTTCCGGGATTTGGTCCTTCCTGTTCTCGCAAAACTGTAACATAAAATTTAAACGATCATAATTTCAGGGATTATAAAATATTTCCTATGTCTCTTCCTTTAGAGTTATTGAATTTTCTACATTTTTATAATTTATATTTTGTGTACTTTTTAAGTAAAATTGATTGAAGAGAAACTATTGTGCAAAGCATTTTATTTATTTACATTTGTTCTTTGAATTAAATTATAAACCCTTGAATCCCTGCTTTAAAAGTACCCTGTAGCTTGCACCCTGTATTTCTAGTAGATAAAATTATTGTAGTTTAATCATAAAGAAATTTACCAATGCATCGTGCTTTTCGAAGATCCAATTCTCCGAAATTTATGGCCATGAAGGGATCTAGAGATTTCGTGTAAATTAAAGTTCTTTGATGCAGAAGAACCCAGGCCGGAAACCATGTACCTGTGACGCCTTCCTGAAACACGCACCAACTACTATTACATATTTAATACAATATATTCAATACTTCAAAATATTAAACATTGTATAAAAGAATTAACAATATATTAACGACGTATTTTATATTTCATACAATAAAAAAAAAAGATATTTACATAAAAACAGATGTTAGATCATTAGAAAGTTTACATGAAATTGCATTCGTATTCGCAGTTGAGTCATCGCAATTTAAGTAAAAGCTTTCTAATAAACATTACAAAAAAGACGTAACGAATCTTACAATATTTCACATTTTCTCAAAGAAAGATCAGATATTGAAAGGTGTACATACCTTTACTTATTAGGTAGAATATCTTTACTTATTAGAATGCATGTGAACTAATATGAAGGTCATAATTAGATTCGAAAAAATTCGATCTCGTTTGCTGTATCTTTTATAATACCTTCAAGTAAGCCCATCCCGTTCTCGTCAGCTCTGTCGTGTACTTCGTGGGAAAGACGCAAGTAATCGCTTCCAATATTCTCTGTGCCCAAACTCTACGTTCGATGATACCTTTAGCGTAGAACACGTGAACACTCGGTCTTCCTTCGCAGCTAATTGCTATGCAATGTACTGTTTCGCCATCGACTACCCTGAACATTTTAAATTACCTTTGTTATTCCGTTATTTACACGTTTGACCTGGTTGCATGTAAATTGTACTTTCTTTCCATACGTTAGAACCAGCAAGGTAAACTTTCCTTTTGTAGATAAGGAAGTTTCAAATTCACGAACGTTCTCGTTTAGACATTTATCTTTAAATTTACAAAGTTTAAAAATAGGAAATTTTTGAAGTTATACATATACAAATTATCGAATCTTCAAATTTAGGAATAAAGTCAGAAATTTACAAATAATTAAATTTCGAAGTTAAATATTACTGTAGTTACATTATTATAGTTAAACTGTAATTCAGATAATTACAATTGAACATGATTTTAATTTGTTAGATTTGAAAGTTTAATAAAGAAAATTAGCAATCTCCAAATTGAAGAGAAGAACTAAATGCAATATTCCATCAGGCGTTACAGTTTTCTTCCTCCAGTATCCGAAGCCTTATCCAACAAAAAAGACTCACTTTACGTCCTGTAGAAGATGAATGCTGTACACTGTGTCGAGTTGAATGACCTCCTTGAGAGTAGACATGCCCTTATCCGTATAAAACGAGAGCTTCTGGTCCGCCAATACCAGTGCCCTTGGCACCAGGTCCTTCGCCCTCTCCATACCGACTCCGCTCCTGTAAACGATTCCTCTGTGTGTCGCAGGATTCTGTAATCCGGCCACCTTTGGCCTTTCCAATTTCGCCAATTTAGCGCTCGGTATAGCTCCGCTATGATCGCGATTCCTGGACAATAATTTACTGCCACTCTTCACGAAACTGATCACGTTCGGTTTGATACCATGAGACGATGATTCGTGCCTCAGTTTTTTCAATTTCTGTATCATACCCACGCGTCTGTGTTCTTCTGTTGCTTTTGCTGTTGAAGGACTTGTTTCTTCAGGCGTGTTCGGTGTAGTGGGTGTTGGTGGAGCTGTAACGTTTAAGGATGATGTAAATGTATTTTATTTTCACACTAGTATAGAATTTTATAAATATTATAACATGTTATATATGCATACATATGTATTGTAACATATTTCATTTTCACGTTATGTACTATTATAGAATTTTATAAATATTATAACATGTTATATATGCATACATACATATTATAACATATTTCATACACACATCTTACAGTTTTATTCTATAAAAGAGCCTTTTCTTGGTGTCATCCACATCATTCATTCTAGATGTCTATTCAATATTACTGTTTATAATAAATAGAAGTACACTTTCATTTCTCTCATTCACCACAACATGTACAATCTCATGTACTTTGACTCAACATGTACAACCCTATTTATCTTATTTACCTCAACATGTACAATCTCATCAACTTTATTCAACTCAATATGTACAACCCTATTGATCTTATTTATCATCAACATGAACAATCTCATTAACTTCATTTGACTCAATATGTACAACCCTATTGATCATATTTATCATTAACATATACAGTCTCATCTACTTCATTTAACTCAATATGTACAATGCTATTTGTCTTATTTATCATCAACATGTACAATCTCAGTTGCTTTATTCAACTCAACATATACAACCCTATTTGTCTTATTTATCATCAACATGTATAATCTCATCTACTTCATTCAGCTCAATATGTACAACCCTATTTGTCTTATTTATCATCAACATGTATAATCTCATCTAATTCATTCAGCTCAATATGTACAACTCTATTTGTCTTATTTACCATCAACATTACAATCTCACATATGTCATTCAACTCATCATGTACAACCCTATTTATCATATTCACCTCAACATGTACAACCCTATTTATCATATTCACCTCAACATGTACAACCCTATTTATCATATTCACCTCAACATGTACAACCCTATTTATCATATTCACCTCAACATGTACAACCCTATTTATCATATTCACCTCAACATGTACAACCCTATTTATCATATTCACCTCAACATGTACAACCCTATTTATCATATTCACCTCAACATGTACAACCCTATTTATCATATTCACCTCAACATGTACAACCCTATTTATCATATTCACCTCAACATGTACAACCCTATTTATCATATTCACCTCAACATGTACAACCCTATTTATCATATTCACCTCAACATGTAGAATCTCATTTACTTCATTCAACTCAACATGTACAATCTCATTTATCTTATTCCTCTATACACGCACTATCTCATTTACCTCACCCATAATAAACTAAATAACACTTCTTTAAGACCTCAATATCTACCTGGTGTACTTGCATTGCTAGTAGTCGCCTCAGTTTTCAAAGCAGTGTTCACAGCATTGGAACGATGTTTCGCCGATTTTCTTGGAGGTACTGCAGGTTGTTTCCTCGTCACCAAATGAGCGAGTTTCGGTAGCAGAGCAGGATTTTTACCAGTAGCGCTCTTGTCAGTAGCCTCCGTCTCGCACTCGCTCTTCGGCAACGAATCGAACCTCTTCGGCGGTTCTGGTGGCACAGCCAAGATTCGTGGATGCTCGTTCTCCACCTCTTCGTGTTCCTCCTCGTTCTCGACCACTTCCTGGAAGTCCAGAATACTCCCAGAACTACTCGGCGAATCGTTCGTAGACAACAGAGCCTCCAGCAACATCAGATCGTCGTTGTTACTGTACACGTTCTCTTCAGGAGCTCTCGAGAGAGGATCAAACTCGAACAATAAAGACTTGCTGGTTTGCTGTCTATTTTCAGCGGGTATAGTTTCTTTCTCTTCCTTCCGGGTCGATAGATTTTCGTACAAGGAATTCTGAATGGATGCTTGACTATCGTTGGATGCTGAGGAGACTCTGTCGAGAAGAGGCACATCGTGCTCCAGGATATCTTCCTCCGCGCTGGATATCCTGTCCAAGTCATCCACTCCTTCGGATTTACTTCCTGGCGCTGTGTCGTAGTACGTCCAGGAGTCGGATATCGAAAACCTTTTGATGCTGTCGGACTTGTCGTACGGGACGGCCACGTTCACGTCGGAGAGGTTTAAACTCTGATCGGAGTCGCTGGTCTGAGAGCAAGAAAGATACTGTGGTAATTTTGTGTTTACACTGCATTCTTATTACGATATTATTATAATCTAATTCTGGTTAATGCTCTAATTCAATAGATAATTGAATGTCCACCTAGAGAAAAAGACAATAAAGATATACTATTCGTCTACTCAATTATATACAAATGTGCTCAATGAAATGTTCAAATGAATGTTTTTAAAAAATACCATATCGATAGATAACTCTTCAAGATTTTGTTTTAATAGATGTTAATATCTTTCCTTAAATTTAAGTTCCGTTATTTTTCCGACATGCGTATGTTTGTCAGCAGCCTTCTGGAATTTTAAATATTAATACTTTACCAGTACTACCAATTTAGAAGTTTTAAATCACCTACTAACCTACTAACTACACCTACTAACTGCAGTTCTATGAACCCACCTGATTGAGTACTAAATTGGCAAGATCGAAGGAGTCTGGAAAATCCCTTTCGACTTTGTCAGAGATAGTGTCGTATCGACTGCTGCCGGACGTAACAGACTGCAGTTCGTCATAGATAGACTCGTCAGGAAGCGGAGGAGGAGGATAGACAGGAGGCGGCGGACTGTATCGCATCCCGGAAAGATCCTCCTCGTTTCTGACGCTCCTCAAATTGCTGTTCAACGGGCTATAGAAGGAGATGTTGCTGAAAATATCGTCCACTGGCAATGAAACGCATCTGTCGTCCTGCGTGGGACTCTTCAGTTTCTTGTCGGCCGAATCTCGCAGGAGCTCGTCCTGGTTCATGGTGGTCAATCTTCTCGTGAGAAGATTCTTCACCGATTTCTCCAGCCGTATGCTGGCGTTTATGGTGCTCGATATCACCGCCCGACCCTTGATCGTCATCTTCTCCGAGATCTCATCCTTCAGCTGACGGGAGCTGGTGCTCAGGTTGCGAAAGAATTCGTTGTTCGTGGAGCTGCGCGAGTCCGGTGTCGATTTCGAGTCGTCGCTCTTTTCTGACTGAGAAGATTCGCTGTGACTGTGCCATCTAGTCGCTGGAAGGGCGGGTGGCAACTTCCTCGGGGCGGGTACGGGTCGTTCGGTCAGCATCGACCTGGGTTTCGGTATGGGCTTCACCTCCATCTCGATCGGGAACTTCTCCGACTCGCTGCTACTCTTCAACCAAACCGCCCAGGAACGTAGAAGTTGCGCCACATGATTCGTGTCCCTTAAATAGTTTAGTCAGTTGTATAAATGGTAGGTACATTTGGACTGAGTCAGTCGTGCTGCATTCTTATTGGTTTGCATTGCTGCATTGATGCAAACTTGCAACTTTAGCATTGTTCTAATGGAAATTTTATTTCAGACATTTTTCTGATTTGTCAACGGATGTTGCAATCAATGATTAACCTTACAACTCTTGGGGGTTCTCAAACTTTCATTGTATTTTACAGTTTCAATTAAAAAATAATTATTTTTTGAACCAAACTTTGCTTCTGAATATTTTATGCTTTACAGACTAGTATATAATTTTAAATACATTTTTTAAGACTAGAAAGGCTAGAGGGATTCAAAAAACTCCCTCAGGAGTTCTAGGGTTAATTTGCTTAAGAAGAAACATAATGAAAATATAAAAAAGAAAGTATGAAAGTATGTACAATTTTTAAAGATATTGTTTACTGCTTATAAAAAGAGTGTTTATGTCAAACACAATGCCAGTAAATGGATGCAAAGTTATTCATAGTTTTTATAAGCGATATATGTATCTTCACTGTCTAAACATGATCTTATGCAAATGTCTGATTTTATGCATAATATGTGCTCCACAAAACTGAATGATAGCTCTAAAACAGTGAAAGATAATTTTATATGTACTCTACCACTGTGCACCTACAGTTTGATTCGATTAAACACCCTGTATAAATAAATAAATTCCAAAAGAAATATTTTTAGAATTTGTTCACCGCTTCATTTAAGACAAATGTAAAGTCAAAGTCTGTAAAATTATATGTACAATGCCCGCGTAATTTTCGGTGATCATATTATAAGAGTATCATGTAACTACATCAATTATTCGGGTGTCATCGCAGACCTGAAGACTTGATAATATTGCGTACAGTGCAACACGAGACGTAAAACGAGCCAGATGTGTAAAACAACATGTGGAATGGAGAAGTGCTTGAATGCAGTCGTATTTTTAATTCGACATTCTTTACTCTACGTCATTCGACTGTGGATTATGTTTAATTAGTTTAAAACTATTTCTGATTACATTAACACGTTTGCTTTCCATTGATTGCAAATTTGATAACAGGCAATTTTTTTGGAAATATAACTTTATATATTAGAAGTATAATAATAATAATAATAATAATAATAATATAAATAATAATATATTAATATAAGCAATAATATAAGTATATATATTACAATAATATAAGTATCTGAAATATAAAAATTTAAAGCCTTTAAATGGCAAAATTGAAAAATATAAAAATCCTGTAATTTGCATGTCTCAATATTTGAAAGCTTGAAAATGTCTCAAATTCCTGAAATCTCGTATGTACGCGCTATGGGTAGCAAACGTGTTAAGTATCATCTTGTATTTTGTGTCTTGGTATTCAATCGATCATTGATCTCAGTAGTTTATAAACGTAAATCCAGCTCGCAACGAATAAATGACTTCAGCTTATCTTTTTCTCTGTCCGATCTGAAACAAAGTTTTAGACTTTGATCTATGATCTAATTTCAGTTTAAAAACTTAATAATTATTTTATTACAGTATCATCGATTTTGACGATATGAGTCTGCTTTTTAAATTACATTGAACGGAAATTTAATACAAATCCGTAGTCATATAAAGATAAGGTTACTTCACTGATAAGAATCAAAATTGATATTGTTAACAAGCAACGAAAAGCGTAAAGTGGATCGCGGTGCCAGCATGATGCAGTGAAAGTATGCTAAACTTACTGAGCAAATCGAGCTCATTTCTGATCTTGCAACATACATGCGTGAACCTGTTGATATCCATGTCCACGTTGCATAATCGAAGCGTAATTTAAAAATTGATCCTTATGCGTCAATAATTCATGCGTTAATATTGGACATTCCTTATGGAAGAACAAAAGAGTCGCACGAATCATAAAAATGCTTTGAACGGTCCGCAAACGTTGCTTCGTGTTAAGTTACCAAGCGAGTAGATGCAAAAAAAAGGAGGAAAAAATGTAACGGTATCCAATACAGCATACGTTGTGAAATTTGTAGACGGTTCTTCATTTTCGATGGCTCGACGATACATTAGACACTGATTCGAAGGACTACCAATATTCTCTTTGTGCATTATACCAATGATACTGGCAAATAAAGACAGCTCAGCGCGAAGCACTTCTGCACGGTTGAATCACCGCTTCCGAGTCACGTGATTAGCAATGAGTAGTTGGGACAAATCGGGTTTTATAATTTCGATCACTGTCGATTAGCTCCGCTTCTTCAATTCTGCAATTTATCGTTTCATTCAATTTTCCATGTGTTACTTTATTTCGGTGTTCAAATTATTTCTTTCAATTCATCATTTCTGTAAACGCAAAATATTCTTACTTATGCAAAAATAATTTACCTACAAGGTTTATCTACATCTCCATAAATCAAAGAAAAGTCCATACTGCACTTAAGTGTACCAATAATTAATATTAAAACAAATAATTAATATTTCTGCTATAGTTATTATTGCAACATATTTATTTTTAAATAAACAGTTCATGTAGATAAAAATACCAGTCTGCTCAACTCTTTTGACATCCATTTTAACATCCGAGTATCAATTGACAAGTTTGATTAACATCGTATTTGTGGGGCACTTGTTGCATCTTCGTCATCGATTTAGGTTAGGAAGCGACAATATTTTTGCTTAGTCCATAGATCTTACATTTAACACCAAAAACTTCATTCCGGGATTGTAGAAAATATAAATAGTCATGCAAAATAATCGGGAAACCCATCCGTTGTTATTCATCAACGCATTCAATTACGAACAGTTCGTAGTTTCGCGCGAAAATGATTAATGAGTTCGGCGTATTTGAATCTGCGCAAACAAGCCACATAATCAACGACTACCGCACAAATACTTGATAACAATTCCTGTAACATTTCTCACGAAAATAAATGCTTGATTCACTTTAATAAATGAAAATAATAAAAAGTAGTCTTAAAATCTGTAGTTTATAACCTGTCAACACGGTTAATTACAAGTAATTGTCCTGTTTGGCGCGAAAACGAATAACTGTCTTCTGCGCATTCAGTACGGTGCAAACATGTCACGTGATCAATTAACCAATAAAACATTCTGAACATCTAACATTTCAAACGAGAGTAAATCTTTAACTCACTCTGAATTAAAATAAAAATAACTATCAAAAGCAATCAGCAAATTTAAGTAATACTAATAACTGTCATAACTTATCATTACAAATAATTGACAGTTTCTGTTTCACGCGAAAATGATTAATCGCGAGTGATTCCTGCGCATTCGAATCGGCGTAAACAAGTCACGTGATCAATGATCAACCAATAAGAACACAATGAAGAATACTATGGCATGTGTTTGACGATAGTGAGTCACCGTTCTGAAATTCGATAGCATTGCATCGAATATCCGGTTTTACACTAACCGACATCCACATCAAGTCGATGTTTCCATGATTTTTCTCGGATTTTTGTACAGGGGATCACCGGACTGGACCTAGATTTCCATGTTCCTCGTTGCTGAACAAAGGAGAGCCATTCGTTGTTCCCTCAGTTGAGAACGGAACGTGAATCATGGTAAAGTTGCGCTAGCAGATCCATCAGAGTTTCTAAAATTAACTGATATCTCCGCTGCAAATGATAAGTATTCCTCGTTATTCTCTAAATGTCCGGAACTTCCTTTTAGCGATGTTAATAAGCAAGGACTTTTGTTCTAAAACTGTAACTACTGGAGGAGTACCAGTACAGTTACTTGTACAGTTTTATTCCCCATATTTCAGAAAACGTTAATCTATTATTCTAAGGACTGTCCGTTCCACTTTCCCACGGAGAAATTCTCATTGTTATTAAAATGGCGCAGCGACGTTTTTATATGACCCTGGACCGTTGTAATACTAAAACACTGTTGCAAGTTGTTTACCGCCAAAATTGGTAAATTTGAACTTCTTAACTTCCTGTATTTGAAAACTTAAAATTTCTATAATTTAAAATTTTTTAAATTAAATTAAATTTGAAAATTTAGAATCTAAATTTAAATTAAAAAATCGAATATATCTAAATCTTTCTTTTTCTGAATATTTTAAATTGCATTACAGTGACGAAGGAGTAACACTATTGTGCATGGAAGTCCATGCGAAGAAACACTTGTTGAACCGGCCATATATCGAGACTGCTATATCGTGAAAATGCTAAATTACCTAAATGCAGAAATAACGGTAGAAACGGATCTCCTTATCTCATTTAAATACAATTACACTGATCTATGCTAAAGAGGAATGTACTATTCAATCTAGGTAGAATTCTTTGTCCGACTATCAGCATAAAAATGACGAAGGTGGTCCAATTACCTCCATCAACCGAGTGCCGAGTGGCACACTTGGCAACTGTTCGTTCAAGGGGCAAATATTTGCCAAAACATCAATGAGCTCCGGCATTTTGTGCACGTACACGCACATCTTCATCGCAACATATTCGTTCAGCGTTCGTATTAAAAGTAGATCACTATTTTTACCTTCGGTAATACTTTTTCGTAACCCTTTATGTCTTCGAACATATGTGCTAAAACGTCGCTGTCTGCATCTCACCAAACGTACTAAAAATAGGCGACTATTTGCTTTTACAATTTTTACTTCGCAAGGTTATCTTGTTATGAATATGTGTATAAGGAAATATCAACGTTACATTGAGACTTTACGTTTACACATAATGCCACATATTTTCAAGTGCACCACGGCACTTTTTTCGGCAGAAACACTGAAACTACTTGTTGATTCACAGGTGTCATCCAGGCGAGAAAACAACAGGAGAAAGAATATAGAGAGCACGTACATACCTTGAGACGCATCCAAGACGAGTCCGAGGAACGATTCACGATTCCACTCCTTTTCACGAAGCGACGCAAAATAATCCAGTATACAACACTGTTTAAACTCAAGCTTCTTTATCGTCCAGTGGGGTCAGAGACCCACCTGGCCGATGACCGTTGCCACTGTCATGATCTCTCTCCACGTCTCTCCTCCTTTCCACGTTTGAAAAAAGTTCACTGCTGTGCCCACGATACATCCACGTACACACACTGCCACGATATAGTTTAGACGCGCAACATTCACACACAACGTGGCACACACACTGAACTCTCACATTTTACAATCGAGCTTCTCCTTTCTCCTCGCATTCTTTGACAGCTCAGTGTACACTATTTCCACTTGAATTTGACAAGACCCGTCGAGTTACGATAAAAGTTTACAATAGTGCTTTCTCTCTATGTTTACACAACGATAGAATCGGATACGATAAGATAAAAAGAACAGAACAGGTTCGCTCCGATAGTTCGGCACTACTTGGTCGCACACAACGACACTATCACATCCTATTCTTACGCGGACGCGCCAGCGACTGCCGCACAACGTATCCCTTCTCTTCTTAGTGACCTCCTCGTCGCAATCCCCACCATCACCGTTTGCAACCCACAACTTGCACGTGTATATTAGTGACGGATCAAGTTCAGTATGTACTTATCAACCTGAATCAATTCATTATTATTAATTCATTACGGTAAAACTCCGTTTAACTCATCGGGCCACAATGTTGTTTGCATAACTGGATATCCGAGTAGGGGCCCACTAACTCCCCTTTCCATATTCGTTCGTACAATATACATCTTGTAATATCGTTCAACAGCTGATGAAAATCTTAGAAGATGGAATAAAATAATATAATCAATCACTGTGGAAATATAAGGAGGACTTCTTAATCACTTAAAAAGTGTAAGTATTAAATTACAGATATTTAATTATGTGATGTATTACATAAAATAACAGAAAATATTGAAGTTATCAGGTACATTGTTTGCAGCTGTGATATAAGGAAGTCGTAGAATTATTTTGGAGCCAAAGTATAGTATCCCCTAATAGAACACGGCGAAGTTACAACTTGAAACCTTATGAAGTGACCTTATGGAGTGATATCACTCAGTGATAGTACATTCTTTAGACTTTTATTTTAATGTATAGTATGACCTTAACTTTATCATCTGGAGTACCTAGCTTGTTTTTTATAATATTTAAAATTATTTCAGTAAAAGTTGAATGCTCTAAAGACGTATGTTCGACATATTTAGATGTTTCATAACAGATAGAGGACAAATGAAGGTCAACTTCATTTTTCTTGAATAGAATTACATATTTTTTTATATATATTTTTGAATATCATCACTGATAGTGTACATAGCTTACTTATATTCAGATAAAGTTTGCCTTAAAGTTTTGTAAATATATTCTTCGAAATGTAAATATAACCTAACTTCTTTTCAGGAACGGTCTAATACTTTTGACACTTCCTGTACTTTTGATCGTTGGTCTTCTCGAATCCTTTATGTCTTATATGAAAGTTAAGGGAATAAACTTCATTGATCATCTGGGCCACGAATGAGTCATGCAATTGCCAGCCTCAGTGGCAGGGAGATAATTTTTATCAACTGTAACGCAATTGAAAGGGATCATATACGTGACAGAAGATAGAGACAAGTACTGTTCGGATTGCCTTTCCTGTATTCATCTGATAATTAAAACTTTGAAATCAGCAACATTCAACACATTGATTACCGTTCATCTTCGACTTATTTCTTGACGAAACGATGTTGCAAATGTTAATATTATTCTTTGAATCTTCTCTAATCAATGGTTCTTGCTGTTCCACACCTCTCAAGCAGCGCTGTTGATTATAAACCGATGAGTAATAAATGATAAAGAATTACATACAATAACAATTATCGAGACTTCCCTCGTTGTTGATATGTAATACTGGTTTCAGAGACTTACAGTGCCTTGTATTCATACAACTGAATACTGATTCAAGTGAAGAAGATAATTAATATCGAACTAATCAGAAGAATTAAAGGACTGATATTAGCGAGCCGAAGTCTAATTATTAATAAATCATTAATTTATGAGTATGAAGAAAAAAAGTTGGCTGACCAATTTTAATTTTTAATTTAAAGTCGTACACATAGTGGAGTAAAGTCGTAGAGTGTCTGCACAGTTCCTGAAACAGACGGTGTTCTACGAGAAATAAGATGAATGCGATGTGAATATTTTAATGAAACCTTTATTAAGACTTTATCACGCTAAAGCCAAATAGTGACTCCGGCAATACAAACAGGTGAACATTGGCCCGAGCTTGCTCGACGGGGAGATGCACCACCGACGACATGTCTTCCTCTTTCAAGAAACAAAATTTCAAAAATTTAATCATTGAAAACGAAGCAGTCACTTTATGCAGACTGGATGATACCTTTGGCAAAGTAATAACACTTTGATAAAATAAAACAAGTAACCCTTTCCTCAAAGTATGCATTATTATACACATTTATGCTTGTTCGTTGTTTCAGGAATTTACTATGTCCAAGAACATCTACTTGAACCCATAGAAGAGTAAATTGTTTGCAAAAGGCCAATAGCAAACATCGGTTAATCTAATCAACTTGTTTGTCGTGAATTAGAAATAAACAAGACATGATCGTCAGTTAGGTCTGCACGTTGAGCGATCAGCCACGGGTGAATTCCACTACCTTAAATCACAATGGCGACGACAAGTTTTATTCGTTTACTTTGTTGTTAATTAGATCCTTAAGAGCGATCGTTAGAGGGTGAGTCTGCGACGCGCGCGTGCACGGTTCTCTGTGTTCGTATACGTGAACGTGCATCGTTTCTGTTTTATTGTTCACATGCAACTGCGACGAAACTGTCCTTCGAATCCGTAAATGAAGGTCAATGAGAGCAATTAAAAAGTTCAGAAAAATTTGAGAGTTTGAAGTTAACTTGACTGTCGTATTTGAGGGTTGAAACTCGATAAACAATATGTATTTTGAAATATAATTACTGTATATAATTAGTATTTTTTTAAGTAGTATATACTATACTATGTAGATATAATACAGTATATACTATTTTTTGCTACAATCACATTAAATATTTTTATTAACACGTTAAATATCGCGATGAGAAATGCTAGGTAAGATGGAACATTATGCAATTGCTTACCATACCATCGTTCCATTTTTCAATTAAATTTTCGTTTTCTTTCATTTCAATACCTTGCGCAAGAGATTATTAGCGTTACTAAAATTATTAAATTCGTGAAATCTACGGTATTTAACGTGTTTATGTTGTAATTAATTTGTGAGGAGAGTTTCGACGCGTTGTAAGAATCGACGAGAAGCGTATCGACGATCGTGGTTTCAATTTTATTAATCTAAAGTACGAACAGTCGACGATCTTTGGGACGGTGTTAAGAATGAGCGTCGCGACGCTTCTCGACGAAATGAACGGACATTTACGATGCACGATTAACAGCTGTTTGACGAACATAGAATTCAAGTTTACAATTGAAAAATTGTTTCCATATGAATGATTAAAATAGTTGTAACCTAATTAGAATATCATTTTTGTGAATACTTAATTAATTAAATACTAGGAATTCCTAAATAAATGATAGAATTTTGATCGATTTGACAATTAATGCAAAAAACTTACTTGAAGTTACTAATATTTTAAACTTAATAACTAAAGCTTTCTAATAAAGATAGCTTTCTAATCATATTAAAATATTAATTTATACAACAAATTATCTTATCTAATAATTTGTTTCAACAAAGATTGAAAAATATATACAGAGGTCAGATAAAATAGCAGAGGTATTAACAAATTATAAAATCAATCTTCCTCAAATTTCAATACAAAATTTCCATATTATGCATTCATAATAAAAACCTTAATTACACTACAATAAATTTTAAATATAATCAGAGTTGTATTAAATATTTAAAATAAGAGTTTCATATATTGGATCCTCATTGTATACTCAGGTGATAATTGTTAACATGTGTCATACTGTAAAACATACGTGTCTGTAACATTAAATTGAAATATTAATTATATTAAACTGTTTTCAACATTTTATCTAATCCCTGTATATTTACAGATAGTTGCCGTTATTATTTATATGTATAATCAGATGCACCACGCACGCGCATTGTTGCATCGCGACTGCATCTATCAAGAGGAACGATCGATGGAATACAATATATATATGTATATTATTGGTACAACCGGAACACAGAGAGACAATTCTTAAACAACGCAATTGATCCTTAATTGACATTGCTTCGTTCAGATCCAAACACGCTGTTGAAATAATAAGAAGCTTAATCAGAATGAATTTAAGACGGATTTAACTTACTGGTAGTTAAACTTGTACAAGATAAATAATTGCTGATATTCGATGTGACAAAACTTCGATAATTACTGTCCGAAATTATACTTTTCGTTGCAATTATTTATTTGTATCAATTGGTTGATACACTCTGAAGATTTGTGTGTTTAAAATGATTAAGTTTGACAAATATGAGATGAAATTAAATAATGAGTTCTCAGCAGACTTTGTTAAAAAATTGAAACTGAAGTTTGAATAGAAACTAAAGTTTGTAGTACATTTTAAGTACATTGAAGTACATTTTAAATGTATGTCTAATTGACAGCCATTTTGTTTTAAGAACATCAGTCGAAGCATAGTTCTTTAAAGAAACTCTAAGCTTCAAGCGTGCTACTTTTCTACAATGTAATATCATAAAACTATATGGAACTCGTGCTTCAAAAGCTATTAATTATTATAACTGATTATCAACTATTTTACTAAGAATATTAACAAAAGCTTTTCACAGTAATTTCATAAATATTTCAACTCAAACATTTTACATTCCCAAATCATAACAACCTAACAACACTTCATTTGAAACATATATCTTACTCAAACATCTTCTAAAATATTTGTATATATAACATAATAGTACCTCATCAATTAAGGATCAATCAGAGCGATCAACTCTCTTCTCGTTTCCTAAAAATGAAAGAAAAAATTGCCTACCAGGAACATGAGACAGAGAGCAGAAGGCCAAAGAGACAAGGTAAATACAGAGTGAAAGAGAAGATAGTCCGAAGAGAAAATCTTTAGGCACACCCACACACATACACATACATTTATGTATATATATATAATATATATATATATATATAGGCATAAGAGTCTTTTTTCAATTTTATACTTCGTAAAGCAAATCGTAAATCTGGACTTAAGATTTGCCGGGCGTACTATCGAACGCAAACGCGGACAAGGTGAAACGACCATTTTCATCAAATTTTCAATTGATTCATCGACACGCTCGAACAACCGTACCTCATTTAACCCTTTGTGGACAAAGCTTTTTATTGATTCAGATTCGTACTTTAGATTAAGATCAAACATTTATCGAGTATTCAATGATCTCTTTTAGGTAATTTTATCATTCGATGAATTAATGATTCTTCAAGATAATTTGAGATTCTTCAACAGTAGTCAATTGTTTCTAATTAAAATGACCGCCCTCGAAGGGTTAAAGAGTACATCGTACACGTACGCTCCTTTGGTGGCGTGATCGGTTTCGTTTCTCATTAGCGATAATCAAAAATAAGTTACCCGAGTACTTTGTACTTGTCCAAGCCGATCGATGGTTGCAGAAGCTGTTGCACGATTATCCCATCCTACGTCAAATGAAAATTCGGTCGATCGCCTCGCCGCAAAACCCGCCATTATTCACACGGAGACGGACTCTTTAAAATTGCTCGCATTTCCCGTACGATTCGCGCGGTATTAATCATTATAATATAATAATAATTACGTCGTAGTTCAATATAGCAAATATATTATATCACATTTAGATTGTATTAATGTATTAAAACGTTTCTGGCCGGACGTCCTTCGATAAATTCAAACACCTGTCCCTATCTACCATGTTCTTTGGTTTTCTTTCATTTTCTTTTTTTTTTAACGGTGAAATTCGATTGTTCGAATGTTACGAGGGGAAAGTTCGTGTTACTTTGTAATTAGTTTTGGCGTCAATTCCTCGAAGGCTTCCAAAATCGATCGAGCCTAACGCTTCGCGTCGAAAAATTGTCAGCGGGTTCAGTGTACATTTTTATTAACACGTTCGTGCTTGGAGAAGGTGCAGATTAGATAAGTTGGAAATTATACTGTTTGTTCAGGCGTTAAATTTCGGTGAACATTTTTACGTAAGAAATTGCAAACTGCAATTTATAAATACAAAATCTTGTTGTACTGCCTGCTTGTTACTGCTTGTTACAAATCATAGTATGTATTGTTTTATACAGCCAATTCAGTGAGTTTTCATTTACATAGATTTCTAGCTTGAAAAAATTACTGTGATATTAAATGGAGATCTTGTTGAACAATTTAATATATTGAGAACTTAAAATTGTATACTGCCAGAATTAATATAACAAGTATATAAGTTTATAATATAACAAGCTTACTGTGTAGACATTTACCCAAATTCACAGATTAAAACTATCACTTAAAATTAATTTATCTAGAATTGAAATGTCATCAATAATCTGTGTTAATATATAAACTAATAATTTTAAATGTAACTATAAATTGTAATATTCAAATTTATTTAAAAATTGAAATATTCAATGTATATCAAATATAAACTGAATATATGATTCAACATTAAAATATAATTCAGAATATATTAAAATATGATTCTATACATTAAAATATAATTCAGAATATATTAAAATATAATTTTATACATTAAAATATGATTGAGAGTATATTAAAATATAAATTTAACATATAACATTAAAAAATTCAACATATTCCATCAATGCTATTAAATAATTTCCTAATTAAATTTTCTCAAAAGCACCTTTTTAAACTCCGCACAAAAGTGTCAATTTCCCTCTAAATTTTAAATAATTTCTTCCGTGCCAATGTTGCTTCCCAAAAACATCTTCGACGAAAGCGAGGCGCCTGATCGTACGTACGTAAATCTAAGAAACATTAATATAGAATATATTATCGTGTAGTTTATATAAGGTATACGTTAAGACACTTACCATCTACTGCAAAAATTCAACAGTTAAAAGATTATAACAACTAGTTCGTGTGTTTTCGTAGTACGAGACGACGCGGCTCGATCGACGTTCCCTTTCGACGAATCTTTTTCTTTTTCTTTTTTTTTTTTAATTCTTTTCTATTCGATTAGATAAAGAAAACGATCGATCGAGAAGGTCGACTCGTCTCTCCCTATCCTTTCTTCTTAAAACCTTACTACACTCACGTTTCCTTTCTCTTGCTCGCATCTTTTTGGCACGCGTTGTTCCTCGCTATTGGCACGACATTTACGAACAATGAGCTTGCTAGAATTAATTAGAATAAATCTCGGACGCACCTGAGGATCGATCGTTCGGACGATAATTAAAGATCTTCGTTGTACGCGTAGTAATGTACAAAAGTTCTTTGCGCTTTTATAAACTATTAACAACTTTTACAAACTTGAAGCATTAATACAAAGTATTTTAATAATTAAGCACTTTCTTTTTAGAAGTTCTGACTTAGAAGGAATTATTTTTCGGTTAGACTCTCATTATACTGCCATCTTCATGTTACCATCATTTTAATGGGGTTTTAGAAATTGCAATAGCAAAGTAAACATTTTTACTAAACCTCTATTGCCAATCCCAGTGTTTTACCTTCAGTGGTAATATAATGAGAAACTATTCTTTTAATTCTCTCTAAAGTAATTCATTCTTATATTAGTAAGTAAAATTATGGAAGTATATTATAGACAAAATACAGAAATTATAAGAAATTATTCACCTCAGCTATGAAGCTGAAAGTGGTCTAAAAGTGACTACTCTATAATGAGAAAAATAAGTAAACATTGCAAAAACATCATCATTGCAATTACATCAAATTAGATTAACAGTAAAAGTTTGCAAAAGTAACATTCACAAAAAGGGCAATACCTAAAGATTACAGTAAATGAAGTACTCATCAATATGCAAGAGATACTCAAATTAATTAAGTATAAATTTGTACGTTACTACGCGTGTACATGCACCGTAACAGACAGAATGCCAATAAATTAATCTGGCTCGAGGAGGCTCCACATCCACTCGCAAAAGGCAATTCCTTCAAGTGACCCCTAAATGTACGCCTGTGTGTTTTTCGTCGTTCGAAATCATCTACGTCCGAGACGTTTCACCGTGGAAAATCGTCCTACATCGAGCTACGTATTTATACATATATGTAATTGCAACGCGAATGGATAAAGGAAAACCGACTTCACAGATCATATCAGTCCGCGACACCTTAAAAGCTAGAAAATTATTCTAAAACGCGGCCGCGTGAACGATCCTTTCTAAATGGAATAATCAATCGAGCAGTTATCAAAAATAGAATATCGTTATAAATATATCATAATACACAACGCATCGATATACCAACGATCAACAATCGTCGTTCCGCGATAATAATTACTTTTTTAGCTTGCTATCGCGGCACAACCAACTACCAAAGATACTATATCACGTAGGTAGAGAGATAGAGAGAGGGAGCATCGCGTTTTGCGAGCAACACGAAATATCGAAAAAATGAAAGAGACGACGCGGATCATTCAGCTCCCTCGGGAATTAGGGAGCTCGTTTAGGCGTGCACCTGTAAAATCATTCGTATAAAAATTGTCGCGATTTTGCCGCGTAACGCCGTCTTAATAAATCGCTCACAAATATAAAGTATCGTTTAAAATACACGTATATCAAAAAGCAAGAAAGTACGAGTATCGTACGCTGAGAAAATTGCGTATACAGGGATTCGTCGTTGTTGGTTAAATTGATCGAGTTTTTGGATATCTAATTATTCGAACGACTTTGGTCTTTTTTAACATAATCATCATTACATAAATTGTCACCATTTTTTAGTCTATGACATACATTGTGTGACTCGTATTAGAATTAAATTTAAGATTCATTTAACATAAGCTACTTATTTTTTAATTATAATTAGCATGTAAGTAGATGAAAATGAAGTAAGCAATAGCATAACAAATTTATACTATCCTAAAAAATATTTGAAACCATATAGACCATATAACCATAAAGATTAAAGTGTACATAACAATTATTTTCATATTTGCTGATAACAATTCTTCAACTTTTGCATACCAAGTCGTTCGAACAACTATAAATAACACTACACGCTGCTTAAACAATAAATCACAATACAATAACAATTTTAAAAACAAATTAACACATCAGTATACCAGTAATAATCTTTCTAAAATGATTAGAGGATTACACCTTTAAAATCATCAAAAGTATTTTCTTAAATTTAGAATAAATCCTCCAATTATTTTAAACAATACTCTCACAAATCCACAAAAAAGCAGCTTTCATACTAAACGCTTTGTTGAAAACACTTAAGGCTAAAGCAATGCTTTCGACGCTTTGAGCACGTTAACGAAATCCAAAGCAGTGGAAATCGTTTGGTATTCCTTTCTTTTTACAATTCGATCAATTCTAACGATTCGTCCCGCGAAATTCAGTCGACTCGAATGCATGTTCCTTCTGAATGCGAATGCAGCCGTCTCGGACGAGAAAGAACGTAGCTTTTACTAATTGCGGCCGTAACGTTGCGCATCGAATAGCATAGATCCTCTTCCCGTGCCTTCTTATCTTTCCCTTAAAAACCGTTATCGACTAGAACGTAGTTATGATACATTAAAAATTGACACACATTTATGTTATATGTACTGGGCTTCGTCTTATCGCCTCCCCGTTTCAGCAGAAACTTGTAGAACCGTTTTCATTTCTTTTTTTTTCGTTAGGGGACGGTGTTTGATCCTACAGAGAGAAAAAACTTGCGACGTGAATTTCTGTTCGCGTTAAATGAGGACAGAGTATTGTGAATTCGCTTAAAGAATTTTTATAATTTATTTTCGCGCTTACCGATTACTTGCGTATAAAGTTATTCGTTGGAAATTCCTGCACTTCGAGCACCTGCTTTTATCATTAATTTATTTTAAAAGCAGAGATGAGGTTGATCGATAGTATTTAAGTGATTTAACACGCTGATTGCTATAATGAAACTATTTTGTATAGTTAAAAATTTAGAGGTTTGTTCCAATTTAGAAATTTCAGTTTACAAATTTACAAATTGTTAATAATATCTTTCAAGGCCATATAAGAGATTCCACTGTACAATCAGTGATACTCAGCAAGAATATCAGAATATCAAGAATAACAATCAATTAAGACTACAAACTTTAGCCATTAGTTCGACATCAAACAATTTCTTTATCTTTATTTAAAATGTTTGATTAAATTGAATGAATAAATTATTGACCACCATAGCAGTCAGCGTGTTAAGAGAACCAATATCATCGAACAGAGACTCTTCAGTCTCTTATCGTTATCTATATGAAATTTGATAAATATCCCTCGGCTACTCTTTCCTCAGTTAACGAACGCATTTCACACCATTACACGATAACGTATTGTTTGCAATATCCTTTTAGAACAGTACCACCTTGTCGTTACATATGCTATATAGTAATAATGGCAATAATAATAATAATAGTAATAATAACAATGTATATCATTATCAATAATCCTGATAATAATCATAATTATAGCTGAATAATCAATATAGTTGGTGTTAAATGCAGAAAGATGCAATATTAAAATTATCTTTGGAAAATAGCACCTCTCTCCATGGATCAAAGATCTCATGCTGTAGAATTTTACCTCTAATAAATCATGTATATCATCCCTGTCACATAAACATTTAACTAAAATAAATTATGTAATAAAATTTTTATGAAATTACAGATACACCTCAGAATTGTTTGCAATGGGAATTTTTCTTGGTTTCATTTGTTCTGACAAATAGAATTTACTTATTGATAAGTCTCAGTAAATAATTGAGAATATAAGTAATGATTCACAGCACGAGAATCTTTGAAACATCATCGGAGAACAGCCAGTCTTAATAATCACTGATTTCTCTGCTCGTATCACGGTGATCGACACAAAGAGAAACGAAGGACGATGTCACACCGTGAAACATTCCTACTTTCAGTCTTCCTCTAATAATCCAGTCTACGATTCTAGCACCATTGCGCAGCTTTATTTTGTTCGTTCATCAACGACTGATCAACGAAGAGACTTCGATAATTAAATTGGCTAATAATAAAGATCTCGTTAGAATTCGAAGATGAGATTGAATTATCGACGTTCGCATGCAATTCTCTACATATTACCTAGTCTCTAGTGGCAAATTTTGTCGTAATTAGCCAGAAGCTGCGCTCTTCCCTCGTACTTTCTTCTAATTTCGTTCGTATACTTTGCAGTCTATCGATAAAATTGTACGTATTTTTTATAACAGCGCTTGCAACCGCTGCATTCGTTTAAAAATCATAAATACACAACTTCTGGCTTTTCATCGTCGCTATTCTTGTTGCTTCAAATATCCGACTATCGTACATATTAGCGTTGCATTATTAATTTCTTTGCATTTCTTTCAAAATTAATTTAGAAAAATTTCTCCTAGACAACTTCGGTGGTCTAATTACTTTCGAGGCAGCTCAAAAGAGCGACGACACGACGCGATTTGCCAACGTAAAACTTCTACCGTCTAGTCGCAATATTGACAAAGTTAGGACGTGTAGAACGACGACGAATTGTCGCGAGATCCCCCGCGAGATCTTCCAGCTTCTTCACGAGCTGCATCGCTAGTTCGCGGACTCCGAATTGGAGGACGGTGAGGATTCTGGGCTCTGTACCACAGGACTGTCCCTTCCGATCGTGGGTGTTAACAGCATACCCCGCGGACTAAAAGTGTCGCAATAAAGATTCTCCTTTTTATGTACTCGCCTTACGTGGCTCCGCAGATTGTCGCGGCGTGCGCTTCTGTAGGCGCAGTGTGGGCACAGGTGTGGTTTCTCGCCCGTGTGCATTCGTCGATGCTGGATCAGCTGGTTAACAAAAAACAATTACCATTTTTATTCTGCTTTAAATAGGAACTAATTTATAAACTCATTCATTATAAATTCATTTGATGAACAATAAGTGTACGTAACTATGAGGACTCTTTACTGATACTTATGCATTTATGATATATCAAGGCTTGCATAGTGTAAAACATGTATACTTATGTCTACCCAACTGTAGAGCAAACTGAACGTGTCAGAACAAGAGACATAATATAATTTCCGATTCGGATAATGTAGAAATGTCCTACAAAATTCAAAGAATAGGTGCAATATCGTAGAATTTATTATCGACTAGGGGATTATATAACCTTTGCAAAATAGAAATAGATTTCTGCAGTCACCACACTTTCAAATTCTGTCCCAAATATTACCTTTTTCAATTGAACCGTGCGAAAGATACAAATGTCGCAGCAAAAGTATCGATCGTCACGATGCCTTCTCATGTGTCTGCTGAGATCGACCTCTGAGGATCTGTCCGCACCGCAAACGGCGCAGCTCACCCTTGTTTCCGGTGCTGTACCTTTTGCGTGAGCCCTTAAATGCCTCTGAAACGCCTTTTCGATGGTACAGGCATATGAACATAGCGAACACCGGTACTCTTCTCTCTCGTATCTACAAATTAAAGCGTACAATCAGTCGAAATTATGTTGAAGTTCAAGTTCTTGTTTCTAAAGTGAATACATAAGGAATTTTAGCAGAAGTTTAGTATGAACACTGTTCACTTTACATCAATAAAAAATTGATAAGAATATGGAGTGTCAAAACATTTCTATTTAAAGGTTATGATTGGACTTAGAGTTAGACTTAAAGCTACTGCACCACCTAGTGAACATTGTCCTAAATACTAAACTGCAGCTGCTCCTCACGAGTCTTCATACTGCTTCAAACAATCCCCAGAAGTTATGCAGAATATCTTTCTAAATATGTCATCAGAAGTAGAAGCAGTATGGTGATTTTTACAGTTCTAAATTTGCTGAATACACTTTAGATGTTGTATAAAAAAATACTGACAAGCGCTAAGTACCTATACCTGACACGTTGCAATGCCAGGGTACGTTTCTTTCCTGTGGGAGTCATTCCTTGAGCCACGTGTGCAGCCACGTGAGTCTCCATCTCGCACCTACTTGTCGTTGTGAAATCACAGCCCGACGACGGACAACTTTTCGTTTCTCCCGTTTCCGTGCTAGACACTGTTGGGTGACAGTCGGCGATGTGCTTTCGCAGAGCAGGCCTCGTCGGTGCAACCACGTCGCAGGAGCCGCAGGAATATCCGCGATGCGCGTTACTAACATTTGGACTGCTACCTCGTGACCTAAAAATTGGTACAAAACATTTATTAGATAAAGTGTTAACGTTAAAGATAAATAGTATGAACACATATCACTTTTACATCCTTTTGCTGGATTAAAACTTTTCAATCGCGCTATAAGTCCTCGCCCAGTTAAAATAAAAAAATGCGCGTTGTTTTTCTACATAAAACAGAATAAAAAGTAGTTTCATTTCCCAATGATTTCTATGGTAGAAATTTCGTAGCCAGTTTCCACGAAGGGCTCGTAATTCAACTGCTGGCCAATATCTTTCAAAGCCGTTGATTTACGACGCCATTCATCTCGGATTTTTGAAATATCAGAAACGCGTTTGCATTGTTGAACACAGAAAGGAGGATTCTCGAAATCGACTGATACATTGCATGTTTTATCGATTTTCTGGCGAACCTTAAATGGTTTGTCTTGCTTCTACGTTGTTCTAGAACGTTTCGTGGGTTAAGTACAATGTAATGTAAAGCAGCGATGCATTGGAAAAGGCTGATAAGTCGATGCGTACTTTTCTGTGTAAGAGGAATGCTCGCTCTCTGAATCACTGTCGGAAGGGACGTTTGGGATTTCTGTAGCCTCCAGAGCCGCGGTTGCTGCAGAAAGTCTGCCGAGCATGGCGGTGTAGGCGCTGAGTACCAAGCCATTTAGGACTGGTGTCACTGATCCTTCCTGAAATAAATGCAAATTTATTAATTTATTATATATAACTTACGTTATACAATTTACTAAATACAATGTGCTATATACAATTTACTGTACACAAATTACTGCATACAATTTACTATGTACTATTTATTACAATTTACTATATACTATATTAATTTACTATATATAAATATTGAAGCAACTAAGCAAGGATTTTTTTGTGAGGAGAGTTCTCTAGCTATGTTATTATTGGTAAAGAACTACAGCAGATATGAATAAATAATTCTTGCTAATTTAAAAAGATGTATACATTACATCCAAACATAACTATTAAAATAAAGCTATAAAATAAAAGTTCTAATAATTCAATTGAAATCAATAGCAACTGCATTGCACAAAAATAAACTAAAGAATACTTCCTTTTTTGAAAGAAAGTACCTTATCGAAAGTAAGATAAGCCATCGGGTCGAGTAGCGTCGTCGACAAATTATTGTTGGCGGACCGATGCGAACTGTTCGTACTTCCGGTGTCGCTCTCCTCCCCTGCATCCTCGTTGTCGTTGTTTTCTTTTGGTACAGTAGGCTGCAAAATAAATCAGTTAAATGTAAGCAGCGTTTTAATATAACTTCAACATTTAATTAAAACATGAGTTAATTAATTGAAGCGTTTTCATAACATCCATAAAGAAACAAGAGAATTTTATTATTAAGTAAACATAAATTATAAATATTGTAATATGTATTAAATTTTAATTGATATTTAATTAATATTGATTACATGAAATTTCATATTCATTGCTTCAATCATCATAGAATAGGTAGTGGATAATTACTGATAAAATAACAATTTCAAAGGTTGTTAAATTACAATGAAGTACTGTAATAAACTAATTACAATTAGGTAATTAATAAATTATAATAAATTACTTTTACAAAATCATAAATAATGAAGTGCTGAAAATTTTAATGAAAATCTTCAAATCTTCAAATATTGATTGAGTTTCAATGAATAATCTAATTGTAGAGAAGGTAATTAAAAAAGTAAGAAGGTGTTATTGAACATTTAACAGATTTTTTATATAGACTTTATGTGCAAGTACTTCTGGAAAAGATTTCTGAAATCTTGCCAACGTTGCAGCTAACTTTATCAGAGGACACATTGATGTCTCCAAACTCTGCAATGCCGATAAAATACCAGAATCTCTTCCAAAAGTAAGCGAAAAAGTATTGGATTAACTTTATTCAGATCACGTGATTCATATTATTTATGAATGAATCTGCCTTCAAACTGATCAATACAACTTTCAGTCTCATAGAAAATCATTCTTTTTTTATAAAAAATAAAACAATTTCTAAAACTTGATCCTCATGGTCGCTCACTAATTTCAAGCAACAAGCTGACTAAAATAATCTTCAAATAGCACTGCAATACCTAACATCACCAATTCATTAAAACCTGTCTTGTAAAATACTGCAAGCTCTTCAAATACAACTGCAACTTACGTAAACACCCTGCACAAACAAACAACGTTCTATAAAAATCGATTTCAATGAAAACTTTGCATAATAAAATGATTTTACCTGATTATCATTTTCGTCAGATTTTTCGATGTTTCCTTCGTTGTCCTCGTGTTTCTCCTCGTTCTTCTCTTCGGGCTCGCTGTTCTCCGCGTCCCTCTCGTTGGAGGAGGATTTGGCGACCAACTCCATAGGTCCATACGGTTCCATGGGGTCGGGAGTGGAGGTGAGCGGTAACGGCACCATGTCAGGTCTAAGAAGACCGCTCAGGGCGAACGCAGCCCTCGGAAGCAACTGCGTGGCACTGGGTGGCAGAATCGAGTGCCTTCGGGCGAGACGCGGGTCAGCCCAAAGTTCACCCGCGGCGTGAAGACTCCAGATTCCATATTCCATCTGAAAAAACCACGTCGAACACTGTGAGACAATGACGTTCAGGAGCTCGTTGCTGAGAAAACGTTGTTCCACGAGTGACTATTTAAAACGACTGGTGGATGTGGTTCATGGAGAACCTCAAAATAGGGTCTGGTTAATGGAAAAGGCGATATTCATTCTTTGCCCGACAATTATACATGCCGGCTAGTCGAGTTTCCACGGATGAATGATTGATGAGATCACGTGGGAGACGGGAATAGAGACGATCGTTAATAAATAATTGATCGTCTAGAGAGGAGACACTTTAGGAAGTCGATGGAACTGATTTCAATGAATAACTATTGGAAGGGCTGGGGATTTTGGAATTTTTGGAAGGGAATATCGAATTTGGGGTATCTGGAAATATGTGGGTTTGAGAATTATTGATGAGGGTTTAAGAGTATGGGAGGATGAGACGAGTATTCGAATGGTTCTGAGGGATATCTTCGTTTTTTTATTTTTTACTATTTTTAGAATTTTTAGTTTTTAAATTATTGAATTACCAAGTTTCTAGTTTTTGGAATTTTTGAGTTTTGAATTCGAAAATTTTTGTTTTCCAAATTCCCAAATTTTTCAAATTTCCAAATTTCCAAATTTCCAAATTTCCAAATTCCCAAATTTTTAGTTCCAAATTCTCAATTTTCCAAATTTTCCAAATTTCCAAATTCCCAAATTTTTAGTTCCAAATTTTCCAAATTCCCAAATTTTCCAAATCCTAAATTCCCAAATTCCCAAATTCTCAAATTCCCAAATTCCTAAATTTTCAAATTTCCAAATTTTTAGTTCCAAATTCTCAATTTTCCAATTTTCCAAATTTCCAAATTTTCCAAACTCCCAAATTCCACTCCCAGAAATTCCAAAATTCCACCCCCAAAAATTCCAAAATTCCACCCCCAAAAATTCCAAAATTCCACCCCCAAAAATTCTAAAATTCCACCCCCAAAATTCCAAAATTCTACCCCCAAAAATTCCACCGCCCAAAAATTCCAAAATTCCACCCCCAAAAGTTCCAAAATTCCATCCCCAAAAATTCCGAAATTCACATATTTCGAATCAACCAACCACAAAGCACACATTAAAAATAACAAAAATGTACGACCACGCTATAATTCTATTACACCCCCATCCAATTTGCCTTTCCATACCCGTAGATAAATTACCCCATCGCAATTTTTCAAAATTTCCAAAGTCATCTGCACGGAAGAAAGACCCACAAGTGAAAGAACAGAAACAATTGGTAGAAACGATTCGATATTGTACAATGGAATCGTAATTATCTCGTGCACATTAATACGTTTGCTTTCACGGTGATACCTTCAATGCGCTGTTCAATAAATTAATGAAGACAATTTTCATATAGCGAGAACGGTGCTTTTCACTGCACAATGGAAGGTTACAATAGAAATTTCGTAATGAGATACGAGAACGTGTGTGTACATACGATGGGATCGAAGGTAAAACGGGGAAAATTGTATTAGTTTGTGTCGAACGGGAATATTGAAAAGCTTCGGATGAAAGGTAAAACGTGTTGAGCTTCAACTAGAACAGAATATTGTTCTTTGATTTGGTTTATAACTAATCGTCAAACGGTTCGTTCATGCTTGTTTTTAAATCTCGGTGAAAGATGAACAATCTCTATCTTTTATGTTTCATGTTTCATGGATGAATTTTTCTATTTGATGAACTTTAGGGAAATTATTTTGCGAATTATTGCAAACTTTAAAATTACGATCTTCTTAATCGTCATGGAAATCATAATATTAAGCTCGTTTTTTAATAATGACGAAAGATGAACAATTTGTATATATTTTTTGCATTTTATACTTAACATATGAATTTTTCAAATATACAAATTTGTGTGAAATTATTTTGTGAATTTAAAAATTATAATTTTTTAAACTCAGATATTTATAAGTCTTTCAAATTGATTTACTAAACATTCACTGATTCAAAAGAATTTTAAAATTGAGAAATTTAAACATTTATAAAAATCTAATTTTAGAGGTCTGTAAATTAAAAATTTCGTACATTTGAAAATAAAAATTTTTAAATACTAAAATATATTTTCTTATAAGAATTTCTGAATATTTAAATAATTTCTAAATTTTTAAATAGAAATTTTAAACACTGTCAACTTGTAAACTTGTTAACTTGTAAAGTTGTCAATTTATCAACTTGTCAATTTGAAAATTTTTCTACTTGTCAACTTATAAATTTGTAAATTTGCCAACTTGACAATTTGTCATTTTGTCAACTTGTCATTTTGTCAACTTGTCATTTTGTCAACTTGTCATTTTGTCAACTTGTCATTTTGTCAACTTGTCATTTTGTCAACTTGTCATTTTGTCAACTTGTCATTTTGTTTTGTCAAC